TTACAATTAAAATAAATTTATAAAGTTAATGTTTATTATTTAAAAAACACATTTTTATATTTATATTATAATATATTTCAGAATATTTAATAGACATATTATGGTAAATATTTCAGACAGCACAAGGTATTTATTTATTTTATTTATTATTTATTTATTTATGTACACACAAAAAAGAAGACATAGTACAGAGTAATAGGAAAATTATGTACAAAGGCCCTGCTTATTTCTTTATGAAATCTCTTCCAGCAGACCTGCGAGAGGATTACGAGGATAATAATTAAAAGTGATGAGTGTGTGTAGAACAGCTAAAATAACAAATAAAACATGAGAATTATAGTAATGCAACATACACATACCAAATATTGTTAGAGAAAAAAAAAAAGGAAATAAATCAGGTCAGGAATCACTGGATCATTGCCCTAGTTATTGTAGGTGTGAGGTGGGGCTTGTTATGCAGAAAACGAAGCTACTAGACAATTCTGTCGCTTTTCAACATAAGCGTGGGATTCTCGCTGCGACAAAGCTTGTGAAGTGTAGGAAGGAGGCGGGATAGTACGTAGCCTAATCATCGTTAGAGCACATGTTGTTGTCAGTAAATTGTTCGGTTGGTTGCATGAGACAACGTAGATTACAAGAAAGCGTTGTATTCACTGGCTCCTTCGCCAATCCCAATGCTAGTATTAAGAGGGTCATAAGATATACTTTTTATTTATATGACGTTATGTTGTTTTTTTAAAGTATAATATATACGAGTAATATATAAATTTCTGTTATTGCAAACGTAGTAAAAATAATCAAATAAACAAAACTATTATGTGCATTTGTCAAGTGTAATGATTTTCTGCACATGGGCCATCATGGAGAAGGTAATGGCGGCGCGTGAGAATGAGCTCCTTTCTCTCTGCCTCAAATCGTCGCAATCGAGCTGGGAACCTGCGAATCCTGGCCTTCTTAGTGTTTTGGGCACTCTTCGTGTGCTGGCAGATGATTAAGAAAATAGAAGCTGCGTAGAGCAACACGCGGCTTGCAAAAGAGAAACCGAATGACAAGTGTTCACACTCTCCGAGCCATGCTGGTTCTGACCCAGTGAAATATTGCAGGGTTTGAGTTGGTAACGCGGTGCCCCTACGTAATACTCAGGCAGATAACGTGATACTCAGATCACGTAGGTAGAAGCAACCAGATTTTATTAAAAAAAATCATAGTTCCTTTAAAAACGATGTTGTCGGTGATTATAGACAAAAAGGCTTTAAATTTCTAGATTTATCTAAAATTAACTAAATATTATTTATGCGACCAAAACAAAGATACAAACTTTACGAAATTCGAACTTCAGAGTGGTTACCGCCATCTCCTTTTCACCGACAACACTTTACATGTTGTCAAACGTAAGAAAACAGATTTAGGTTAAATTCGTGAAAATTCGCGAAAAATCCACTAGATGGAGCTACTAAATGTGTACAAAAGGAAAAAATATGGGGAAAGTGTTTTTTCGTAAACTTTAAGCATAATTTATATGTTCACAATACAGGTTTGGGTAATTAAAATTTGTAAAATTGTTTGTCAAACAAGTACAAAGCTTAAATGTATTTTCCAGTGTTGTATTATTACAAGGTAAATGTCTAACAACTACAACAAATTAAAAACCTCACAGAATATCTTTGATAAAGCCACTACAACTGACACATGGTATCTGCCCAAAAACACCTCCTCCTGATAGTAAAAGCCGTCCGGCGGCTGTTGAACACCGGTAGATGCCTTTTTATCAGTATTAAGTAAACATACTGCGATCATTAGCATAGATAATACACATAAATATCACTAGCTAACATTTCCGTACGTGATTAAGCGTTTTGGTATATAGCGGGGACAGCCGCTATACAATACAGTTAAGTCTTCAATCCCATGTTTGAAGTGGGTGATGATATCCACTTATTTATTTGTGGACTAATTTATACCAAGTTATTGGGCTCACCTGTGTGCTTAGCGTTAGTTTTTTCACTTCTCGATCGCCTAAAAATTAACTCAATTTTTTATTGAGTTGGAACAGATTCCTTTCGTTTATCTATATAAAGTTTCGTACATCTATATAAAGTAAAACTAAAAAAAAGATGAATGTCAAACCCGCTCTGCCGGCCTTCGTTTCTCGGAGTATCGTAGCTCCTTTCAAAATAGAGTGAAGCTTCACATAAAACTTAAAATAAAAATTGAGATTTAAAAAGCGTGTAAGATAGGGCCGTTCATTATCTCTTATTTTGTTCAACATCTGGCGACTATATCATGCGACGAGTGTGCGACGATTTAATGGTGGCGTTTCTGTTGGTGGAACGAAGCTCACAAATTCAAGGTGGGTGGCACATTTACGTTGTGGATGTCTATGGGCTCCAGTAACCACTTAACACCGGGTGGTCTGTGAGCTCGTCCACCGATCTAAGCAATAAAAAAAAAAAAAAACAGCATAACACGATGCTGATGACACACTACTAACACGATGACACAAAACTAATAAATCTACTGCTACTTCTTGCTTTTAATTAAGTTCTCTGTGTCCTAGTTCAATGTTAACAACCATTTTTTACTAGTGGTTTAGCTTGCCTGACCGTTTTGTGTTTTAGCTTTTCATTACAATATCTAATAACCGCGTCATAAATATAGATCTTAGCAACATCTTGAAATAAATGTTTTTGGATAGATGGAAATTTTGTAGCGGTCAAAGTTACAGGTAATTTGTAAACCCTGCGTTTAATCAATTAATCGTATATTTCAGAAGAGAGAACCGCTTCGTGTATCAATAAAAATATTTTTAAAATGAATAACTGACGCACGTTTACGAACTTAACTTTCCCTGTAAACGCGCTCTGTGGAGTACCTTATAGGTTTATTTAGTATCACCTTTAACACTGAACATTGAGTTCTTTCTAATTCAATTAGCACAGTTTTTGAAAATAAATTAAATTAACTATTAACTTGTAAATTTCGTATACATGTTTACCCATATAGACAGGTGCTGCGTCCTAAAACTTTTTTGATTGTATAAAGATAAACAAAACAAAAATAATCGAGGCGTAAATTATTGTAAAATAATAATATTGTAATTAGGTTATCCTAACACAACAATACTGTTTGTTTATCAACAGAAACAGTATTCTAAGTACGTTATATACCCGACAGAGTTTAATGGCCACCTTTATTTTAAACGTTAATGAAATCACATATCATTATAGTAATTAACATAATAATCTTACATACAAAACTCTAAAGTAAGTTATGGATACTAAAAAAATTACGAAATTAGCCCTAGCGTCCGTGGTACGTAAATTAGTAAAATCATTAATCACAGGAATACTTTCGTTTAGTGAAGTGATAATGATCGAGTACTATAGAGTGAAATAATTACCGTTATAGTTATTTCATAACTAGTGACTCGGGAATAGTGTAGCTTCCAAACAGTGAAAGAATTTTTTAAATAGGTTCAGTAGTTTCGGAGCCTATTCAATACAAACAAACAAACAAAGAAATCTTTCCTCTTTATAATATTAGTATAGATAGTATAGATAGATTACTTAATTCTATCGTCAATAGTTTTCGTAGCGCACGCGATATAAAGAATATTTTAGGTATTTTTTTACACCTTGCGTCACGTTATTGGAGTTTTAGTAAAGATCCCTAATAAAAAAAAAAAAGATTAAAGCCTATGTCACTGAGGGATAGTGCAGCTTCCAAACAGTGAAAGAATTTTTAAATCGGTTCGGTAGCTTTGGAGCCTATTCAATACAAATAAACAAACAAATCTTTCCTCTTTATAATATTAGTATTGATTACTTTATTCTATCGTCAATAGTTTTCGCAGCGCACGCGATGTAAGAAATATTTTAAGTTAATTTTTTTACACCTTGCGTTACATTATTGGAGTTTTAGTAAGGATCTCTAATTATAAAAAATAATTATAGCCTATGTCACTGAGGGATAGAGCAGCTTCCAAACAGTGAAAGAATTTTTAAAATCGGTTCAGTAGTTTCGGAGCCTATTCAATACAAACAAAAAAACAAATCTTTCCTCTTTATAATATTAGTATAGATGAAATCATTGAACAAATATATTAAGTGCATGATATTTTTTAATTATATTACTTGTTATCATGTCAGTCGATTCACTCTTGATAAGGCAATTGTGGTCTTTGTATCAGACCTTGCTCATTTTACAATGTTTCTTCACCTTTTCCTGCTTCTTGGGGTTTTATCATTAATAAAAAGAATACGTTGCTACAAATTTTTATTTCGTATATAAAAGGGTGCAAAGGATACCTAAACAAGATAACTAGAAAAGTAAGGTACGTATAGATAAATTTAAAGACTACAGTATCTTCTAAAATATTGATAAAAATTAATATTTGTATGATTATTTTAAGCATCGAGCGTCACTTATGCGATTATTTAAATAATTGGTACAGTATTTGTTGGCACTTCAAGAAAAGTCTATAACATAGTAAATATTACCACCGTATTATAAAGATGCTAATTAAATATATGAAATAAATGAGTTTCAAAGAAACTATTCTCATTTTTTACGTTCAGTTAAAATAACTCAATAAAATATGTTGTGATATATTTATTACTCATTATTACTAAATAATAAATTTATTAATTCACAATAATAATAAAAAGTAGTTTCTTTTTTAAAAATTAAAATTGTAACCTAGCAATACTCGTATTATAACAGTTAGCTTCCAAATGGAGATAAGGTTCGTAATTATTCTATATTCAAAGAATCTTAATTTCTATTATAATAGTAATTTCTTTGTTTAATTTTCTTCATTCATACACGAAGTATCTTAATATAATTGAAAACCTAAAACAAGGGTAGAATCTGTGATCGAACGCAGCAATTTACCGAAACATACATATATTAGCGATACATAGAATAGAATATATGTTCGCTGTAATTATCTATGATTATTTAATTTTAATATACTACTTAGTGCGCAAATGACATATTTGTTAGAAGCACGTGACTGCGTTGAAGAAACATCGGAGAACTCGCCCCCTGTTGTTATTAGACTGGCCCCGACGCTCCAAAGCACTCTGCAGACAAATATTATAAAAGTGAATTCTTGTGGTTTTTTTTATTGCTTATATGGGTGGACGAACTCACAGCCCACCTGGTGTTAAGTGGTTACTGGAGCCCATAGACATCTACAACGTAAATGCGCCACATATATAAGTTCTAAGGTCTCAAGTATAGTTACATGTTTCAAGTATAGTAAAATTGGAAACGAATGTTTCCACATTATGTTGAAAAAAAAACCAACGATTCACAAAAAAAATAATTACGAACTATAACGTATCGTATCTGGAACCATTTCAAAACTTTAAATTTTATCTTAGCTTTATGCAGTTACTATATCCATATGTAACTATATATTCACTACTCAAATACATTGTAATATCACAAGCTACGTACTGCTACGGCGTAGCGTAGGACTATTAAACCCATTATAACATTGTTTTATACTGTGTTTTTGTGTTTGTTTTTTAATAATATGTAGGTATATTTAATCATTAGGATTACATATTCGTTTAATTTTATTGCTGTCCCAATAAAATTTAATTACTTGAGTGCTTGTGAACTTAAATTTCTAGTAAAGCTTTCAGCGTGTTTATCGTTCCTTCATGAAGGTTTTGCTTACATCGTACAGAATATCGTTGATAAGACTATTTTTGCCAAATTTGCAAGTATGAAGCATGTTTGTCTCAGAGAATTCTTATTACACAATAAAAAATGAGATTTACTGACGGACGTCTTCCTCGAAATGTTCGTTAATTTTAAATTTTTGTACTAAATATAGTGCACGAAACTATGAAAAAAAAAAAACTAAGAAATTTAAATTTATTTAAGAATTATTAGAAAAAATATATTTTACCATATCAGAATCATCCATGGGTATTCGTAAAGGCGCAGTTCTCGGACCTTCGTATTCAGTTCTATCGTACCGAGGTGCTACATTTTCTTCGTGCAAAGCCTTTTGAAGTGCCACTAGCAGCCGGTCTAGAACTAGAGCAGCTCGCTTTTGCGGTAATCGTTCCTGTATAAAACAAAAATATCAAGATACGAAATTTCCCTTCAAACTGTTTTAGTGACAATGTAACTTAAAATTTGTTACAAATTTTACTTATCACGCTATATTTTTAATAGGCGTGCTTTCGATATAGTCTTAATAGTGTAAATATTCGTATATTATTATTTATTAAATACTAGGTGACCCGGCAGACTTCGTAGTTTTTTTATTGCCCTTGTAGGCAGACGAGCATACGGCCCACCTGATGGTGAGTGGTTACCGTCGCTCATGGACTTCAGCAATGTCAGGGGCAGAGCCAAGCCGCTGAAGTGCCTAAATATATAAATAACAGACCTAAACTTTATTTAATTCCGAGAATTTTCATATTTATCTACCTTTTAAACCTTCCCTGGACTTCCACAAATAATTCAAGACCAAAATTAGCCAAATCGATCCAGCCGTTCTCGAGTTTTAGCGAGACTAACGACGGCAATTCATTTTTATATTGATTTCTAGTGCGGAGTGAAAATATAGAACTACTTTATCGTTTTCTCCAAATGTATCAAATTTTTTCATCGAACCATTTCTCAAGAAAACTACTAAACCTGTAATAAGTAACTATAAATGTGCATTTATATTGAGTGTTATATCGGCAAGTGGATATCCACATTTCTCTGTTTTTCAAGGTTTCTTATATTCCCATTTACAGAGCTACCAGTGAGTCACGTTTTTTTTTTTTTTTTTATTAAATATTTCCGAATGTTGCTATCCTGTCCATATAATCATGTTACACCTTGTCACCAACAATAAGCAAAAATTCTCAATAAGGTAAAGACTTAGACAGATGTTTTTTTAAAACAGACTTTATAAAAATGGTTCGAGTAAATTTTCCAGATTACCTCTCGACTCGATGAGACCAGGTTTGATTTTTACAAGATTAGTTAAGAAAGTGATAGCATCTTAAATAATAATATTACAACATTCAATAAATTTTCCGAAACACTACCTGTCAATGTGTTCAATATTGAAGTAAGTATGTAATCCTGCGATCGATCACACTCATACCAACAGTTTTATCTTAACGGGAACTTTACCAAGTCCCCAACGAGTGAACATCGTATAAATGAGCAATATTAGTTACTTTTCCATGACATTAGCCATGTTACACTGTATTGCTTCTTTCCATTATTCTAAGTATAGCATTAACCTATTTGCAGTTGATATCTTTTTGTTATAGTAAGTCCGCGACCAATTGTAGGGTTATTGTAAGCTATTATTACTTATTGATCTGTGCAGTATATCATTACTTTCAAAACTTTAATAAGTAATCCAACAATGGTGTGAAACACATTAGTATACCTTATTCTTAAATGAATGCAGGACCGTGAGGATAAACTTACGATTTAAAAAAAAGTATACACACATATTCGCATACTTTAGTTTCCATAAAATTGGATCTTTCTTTGCGTTTTTTGCGAGGCTGTCGTATTATGTTTTTAAGTATTCTAAACAATCTAAGCGCCTTATTTACTTACATAATCGTTATATAGAGCAGGAGCGGCGAATACCGTCGCGAAGGCGAACAAAACCAGTAGGACTGAGGTATACATCATCGAGCTTCAGGCATCACACAACTAAACTCTGTAAAAATCAATCTGCAAATTGAATACTGAACTAAATAAAAAAATAGTTAAGGAACGTTTTCGTCAATGAAATGTAAACTTTAGTTTTTAATTCAAAAAAGGAAAAGTGTACTGTGCATTGGGAATTTAAGGATTATTGGGGAATTATAATAAGATTTAGTAGAAGTTCCATTTTAAGTTAATTAATAAATAAAAATTAATAACAAAAATAACAAAACAATTTTGTAACCGTTTATTTAAATTTGATAATAAAAAACGGGTGGACGAACTCACACCCCACCTGATGTTAAGTGGTTACTGGAGCCCATAGACATCTACAACGTAAATGCACCACCCACCTTGAGATATAAGTTCTAAGATCTCAGTATAGTTACAACGGCTGCCCTACTTTTCAGACCGAAACGCATTACTGCTTCACTAGATATAGGTGATGCGGGTAGGTACTACGCGGACTCACAAGAGGTCCTACCACCAGTAATTGCGCAAATTATAGTTTTGCAGATTTAATTTTTATTACACGATGTTATTCCTTCATCGTGGAAGTCAATCGTGAACATTTGTTGAGTACGTATTTCATTAGAGAAATTGAACCCCGCCTGGGATTCGAACACCGGTGCATCGCTCAACACGAATGCACCGGACGTCTTATCCTTTAAGCCACGACGACTTCATTTTACTATTATTATTATTTATTCAATTATTATTATTCATTTTACCTATCTAACTAAAGGAATATTACAAATAACAAAGTAATTCTTCCCAAATTCTAGATGTCCGATGGCCTTGAAAAATTTGACACATACACACACATAAACCGATAATATTACAGTATTTTTACTTGCATTGGCATTATACTTACTATTACTATTACTTTGCATTATAACCTATAGGTTCACCGACATAAATATAAAAATTACTTTTAGTTCGATTCGCTGTTAAAGCGTGTTCTTAAATACATATATATATAAAAGTTTAAATTAATAAATTCATTTCGTGTGCCAGGCCAATTTATTTCCAAGCATTAACATATCTATTATCTATTAATGAATGTCGATAATATAAAATTGTATCAATAAGCGCAGAGAACCATCAAAATATGACCCTTGTCATTCTGTTATATCTCACTTGACAAACAACTGACAACCTATTTTTCTATGATCTATGTCGATTTCTTTCGATAATAATAATATGTACTTTGTATTGTAGAATGTTTATTTTACATCTTTATTATTTTTAATGGGTAAGTTTATATTTTATGTTCACATTCTGAATATCTTATTGTTGTAGCACTCGAAGGTCAGCGGTTTCGTTTGCAGCTGTAATACTGAGATTATTGGACAATTAGAGATTCACGTTGTGATTCGGCTTCTAGGAATCTCTTAACAGCAGATATGAAGATAAGTCATTAGTATACATTGCGAAGTGTGTTTAGGATTGCTCACGGATAGCAATCTTTTTCTTATCAAATTTCTGTACTTATATGAGTTTTTAAAGTTAAGGTTCATGGACCCAGGAACTAAATTATCCCACAATTGAGTTCTTTTATATTCTATTCGCCATATCTATACGGTATTAAACTTAAAATAAAGCCAGTCTGCAATTATTGAGGCACCAGCTAATTTACTCAGTTACCTAGTCGTAAATGAAATTAATTACTCAGTGATCATTTTACATATGAAATTATTCACTCTTTACTACCTCGACAGTCGGGTTGTTAATAAAAGAGAAACTAAAGATACTTGAATAATATTTCTTAGAAATTTGAAACAGTGCAGTTTCAGTGTGTTTCCTTTATACGGCAAAGCATCACGTGTGTTGATTCTGTCGGCACACGTTGCACGTGAAATTATTTCCGTAATAGTCGAAGATGTAAACGATGCCTTATGAACTCGATAAGTTGTACTGATTTCGCTGGTGTCGGAAAGTGGGTTCCAAAAGTTTCACTATGAACCAAACTATCAGCATTAAACACTTTTGTAACCGCTTGCTAAAACTAAGACACACGTCAATTAAGACTTATTACTTAGTTTTTGATACTGTTTAATGATAGTTTTTACTAGACAGTTCGAAGGTGTGATTTGAAGGTGTGAAGGTGTGATTCCAGAGGCTTGGAAAAATGCCATAGTTATGCTACTGCATAAGAAAGACGATACCACCAAACTCACTAACTACCGACCGATATCCTTGCTGAGTCATGTTTACAAATTATTTACCACCTTTGCGCCTTTCTAACAAATTAAACTTGGCACAATCAGTAGAACAGGCTGGATTTCGCGGCGGATTTTCCACAATCGATCATATCCACACTGTATGACAAGTTGTAGAAAAATGCACCGAATACAATCGTCCTCTGGCAGTGGCCTTTGTAGATTATGAAAAGGCTTTTGACACAGTTGAGCACTGGGCGGTAATAAATTCTCTACAGAGATCATTCATCGACACAAGATATGTGGAGGCATAAAATCTGCCCACAAGGATGCTACTTTACAAGTAAAGATGCATAAATTGACTAATCCGGTGAAAGTGTAGAGAGGAATGCGGCAGGGAGATACTATATCACTGAAATTGTTTACGTCTCGTTTGGAAGACATCTTCAAGCTTATTGCATGGTCTGATAGTGGTATTAACATAGCCGGGACCATCTAACTCACCTTCGTTTTGCAGATGATATCATCCTCTTCGCAGAAGTGTAGAACACTTGAGAGTGATGGTGGAAAAGCTTTACGACGTTTCTCTACGTATAGGCCTTAAAATGAACATCTCCAAAACCAAAATGATATGCTGTGGTGATGGAGTGGATCACATCAAGTTAGAGACTAAAAAATAGAGAGAGTGGAGAAGTATGTTTACCTAGGACAGAATATCAGTCTCGATAGAACCAGTCAGGAACGAGAGATAAAGCGCCGCACACAGCTAGGATGGGCTGCTTTCAGTAAGCTGGTTGACATACTAAAGAGGACTATGAAATTGAAGCATCGGACATACGAGCAATGTGTACTCCCTGTCATGGTGTATGGGACTGAGACATGGACACTCACAAAGCAAATTATGACCAAAATGCAAGTCACGCAAAGAGCCATGGAACGGGCTATGTTAGGTTTTCTCTACGGGATATTATGCACAATACCGAAATCCGCAGAAGAACTGGTTTGACTGACATAGCCAAAGTGATTGCTCGGAAAAAGTGGAAGTGGGCTAGCCACCATATGCCGTCACACTGACAATCGGTGGGGCACAACAGTACTGGAGTGGAGACCTCGTACTGGAAGTCGTAACGTGGGCAAACAGCCAACGAGGTGACCGATGACTTGGTCAAAGTAGTTGGTAGAGACTGAATGGGAAAGGCAAGAGACCGAAGAGAATGGGGTGCATTCGAAGAAACCTATACTCAGCATTGGGTTGAAAAAGAGAATGACAGTTTTTGTTCTGGTTAAAAAAAATTTATTAAAAAGGGACCAGTTATACGTTTATAGTCTGGTGAATACCTCTCCATCTTTTCACTGCTTTAGTTTCGTTATTCTTATTCAATAATAAGTTAAATGAAAAGTTCTTTACAGTAGTCAATCTAAATAAGCAGTGAAAAATCAATGTGAAACTTTAATTCATTTCTCACGATACGTTTTACACATCCACTTGCTTATCATCGTGATGATCTTATTGCAGTGGGTATTAAGAACCCTCATATATTAGTATCATCATCTCGCCTATTAAGCACTAGCCCTTATTCCAAAGTTATTGAAACTTCAACATCGTGACTCTAGATTGCCGACAACATTCACGTTGCTGTGTTTATATGTTACGGTAACAACATTACACCTGATTGTCGTTGACTACGTCAATAAAATGGTAGCTCTAAGTAAAAGTCGTAGTGTATGTACCTATATATTTCTATAATAGCAATACATAATAAACATAAGTTTAGAATTCATCGTATGATTACCACAGAACTCTTTCTAAGTGCTTGAAACGATTTTAGTGATAATTTTCGTTGGTATTTAAGTGGATCAAGTAGATCTCGAAACTGGTTGGAGATGTTTTTTTCCCAGGTCCATATTTCGTCTGCACGTATTTTGACTAGTCCTTTTACGAAAAGGACTTGTTCGCAAGTTATTCATCCGTACTTTTCAAGATAAATAATTAAAAAAAAAAACAAAGCGGACAAATAACGACAAATATAAATAAATGTTATTTCATTAAATTATTAATTTATTACAATGTATAATTCAAATGAAACTAGACTTTTGTCGAAAAGCTATTTAAAATGATAATTACTAACTTACCAATAAATCCAAAAAATATAAATTGCAGCTTGTTGTGGAACCTTTACAAAACACTTCCTAATTATGAAAGGATTTCAAACAGTAATTGTATCGTAATTCAGTTAGTCCGTTAGTATGAGGCGTTGCGTCCCGTGTGAACTGCAAAGATTATATAGGGCGATAGCCGCCCGCGTGAGCCTTTATAACAACGCCCCGTTCTGCTGTGTGTGTACCAAACAGTTCATTATTTTGTGACACAATATTTGGATTACATTCATACCTTTACGACACATTTTTATATTGTCGTGAGGAAAATACTTGTACAAAACATTATTCGTATAAAATTTAAATCTAGAATCTAATAATGATGCTTTCAGTTCAATGATTACTAAAATAAATTAATTTTAGAAAACTTAATTATAGTTTAGAGGGTTTTAAAATACACTCGATAGCGATGAATCCGGGTCACTTAAAAAACCTATAAATCTCGGAAACTAAATAATAATGCTAGCTTAATGAAATAAATTGTGTTAAGTAGACAATTAAGTGCTCCTTAAATAAATTTATTAAAACTTCTTAGTTACTTCTAGGCTATGTCATAAAAAAAACATATTTGAAAGAGGGAGACTTTCGAAGATGGAACTACGAATTACTGCATTTGATTTTGCTTTTGTTTCTAATCTGTCATTTAAGTGGGTATGGAAACCATAT